CTGTGCAAATGCACTTTGGTGGGTTGCAATGTGCATGTTAAATTGCAATGGTGTGAACAAGGCCTTTAAAGAACCTAACAGCCCTCCCCAATGTCCTTATGTCTGAACTCCATATGCAAAACACAATCAATTACAGAACAACATTATTTTTAAAGATTGCATACATCTATTTTTTTTAAAGATTGCATACATCCGTTTCAAGCTACTTGGCCATCATCTGTGCAGTACAGTATATGGAAACCTTTAATGGGCTTTTTTTGGTCCCGTGAAGCTGAACTCCAAGCAGATATTATTTATTCATTCAAAATTATTAACTATAAATTCATTTTACATTCTATATATTTTTAGTCTCTTGTAATTCCCCGTACAACGCTCAGAGTGGGAGAGGGAGGGGCAGCACTAGGAGCTAATCAAGTAAGTTTCATGCAGATGTTCTGACAGGAGGAGAGAGCAGTATAGGTGAACTGCTGCTGCTACTACATTGTCCAGTCCGAGCCTACGGGCAGGGCAGTGACCTGGATTTATTGCTAAACTGCAGAAATTTAAACTCAGGTCACTAATCTGGTTGTACAGTCAGGCAGGGCTGTGTAAACCTCAGCACTGGAAGGACAGAAAAACGAATGAAACAGCTCGTGTATATCTATTTCAACAGTATATTTGGCTGTTAGCCTGACGTTCAACTTTAAAATGCATAGGACATGTGATCATGCACATCATCTCAGGGTAGGAAAATGCCTTTCCCTGAGATCTCGTGAGATTACAGATGAGATTTCCCAGCAAAGCTCTGCTGATGTAACCTTAACAAGATGCAATGCTTGAGCACGATTACATAATTTGTGCCAAAATGGACCAGGAAGTGGAAAAAAAAGTTGTAAGTAAAATAAAAATATATTTGTTTAGCTAATGAATGCAAGAATATTTCATATCAGCAAGCAGAGCTGTATGCTGAGGGGATTTTTACTCTAAGGTCCACTGTACGAAAGATTCTGGGGTAACATATAATAAAGGGGAATGCCAATCACATTAGGACAGAATTAGGTATGGCCTATTACATTGTACCAAAACATAATGACCTAGGCATATCGTCAGCTCCAATCTATAGCTTCTCCTAGAATATTGAGGGCCTACGCATGCCATTAGGAGCATCTCAGATGGGAGCTAACAGTGTGTAGAGAGAATAATATGGTTTACCAGAAAGCATTTGCATTGGTGAGTATAGAATGGCATCATACTTTAGAAAATAATAAGCTGTACATGATTCAGTTTGAGTCACAATGAATGCATCTAGGCAGTGACAATCATCCGAGTGTATCTTTGAGGGTAGCCTCTGTGTACCAAGTTGTACACTTAAATGGTTTGACAATTCAAATTATTTCTTGCTAGCTTAACACATGGGTTATAAATGGACACCACTGTGTAATAAAATTCTAACTTTTTGTCAACATTCACTTTTGCTTCTAGCCGTTCCATCCACAACAAAGTTTTTATGGTTGATAACAAACTTTTCAAAGCAGAAGGCCTGTTGTACAGTAATACCTTGGTTTACAAGTAACTTGGTTTGAGAGCGTTTTGCAAGACAAGCAAACATTTCTGAAAAATTTTGCCTTGATATACAAGCAAATGTCTTGCAATAAGAGCAAAATTTTGTAGAAAAGCGCCACCCGAATAAGGCTGTAGCAGTGCGAGCGATGAATCTGTTCAACGACAACACAATGTCACATTGGATAGATTCCTTGTTAAGGTTTCACAAAATGAAAAAGATTCCATTGAGTCAAGAGGTAGCAGTGATTCCGTTAGTCACAGTGAAAGTCGTCCTACACAATAATCCTCCTCTCTCTTGTCCCTCTCACACCAGCCACCAGCCACGAAGGTACCTGTAATTGGTTTATTTTTCTTTATATTTTATACAGTATTATATTACAGTACAGTATTGTAATCATTTTATATGAATATTTTTGGGTTGTGGAACGAATCATCTGAATTTCCATTATTTCCTATGGGGAAATTCGCTTTGATATACAAGCGCTTTGGATTACAAGCATGCTTCCGGAACGAATTATGCTCGTAAACCAAGGTATTACTGTATAGCCATTTATTATCTCTCTTTACCAGGAGTAAGCAGGTGTGTACCCATGCCTCAGTTTTTGTTTGCTAGTGCACTAGGGGATCGGATGCAAAATTATCACTATACTTCATTTATTTTTTTCTCTTCTATCAATATACTCTACATATGTTTCTCTCTTCAATCAACACATTTAATATACTGCTGGAGCTGATTAGGCAGCTCTGCTACCTGAGCCTGGGACCTGCACTTTGTCTTCCTGGCCTCTTATATCCATGTGATTAATGGAACATATTGCTCTCATAGGCATTCCAAATGTGCCCCAGAGTTATCTACGGCGAACCTAGTTCCAGAAGATCCTCCTGCCTATTTGTTGCCTGGGGCCCTGAGCGTTATGTCTGATAGAGGACCTTCACAGCCTACTCCTGTAGAGTCTGTATTTGACCAGGTTTCCAATAACTCAGATATGCAAGCTATGGTTTCCAACCAGATTGTCCCTGTGCACTTTGCTATGCACCTAGAAGATTAGCCTTCTTCTGTAGCAGGTATGTAGACTTTTAGAGATCATGCTATCATGCTTCCTTTATGAGGACTGTGAACGTCCAATGCAAGCAAGAGCAAGACTTCCTCCTAGTAAAGTAAGAAAGCATTTTCCCTTTATTAGGGCATTCCTTGACAAATAGTACCCAGCTAGTTTGAACCTACCAGTTCTTTACATTAAAGTGACACTAAACGCAAAACCTTAAAAATATATTCAAGTACCCTAACTTTTAATAAAAAAGTATGTTATTTGTGTATCATTTGGCTGTAGATCCTCAAATCATATCTGAATTGGCGCTGACACTGTCCTTCCTTCTGGAGGGTGGATACTTTTGTTCCTCATGGTCCCTGTGTTTGTTATTAAAGTAGCCACCGCTCCAAGCTCACTCCTGTGATGGACTATAATCTCGATACAAATTAATAAACTAAACCTGAGATTGTAGTTCATATTGCTGCTACTGTACTGATCTCTGCAAAGGCTTCCCCCACCCCAGCGTCAGGCCCATATTATTCAGTTTTGTGCACCAGCTGCTTGCTGCTACTGTTGCAGAATCAGCACAGTAGCAGCAAGCAGCTGGTGCCCAAGGATGAATTGGGGCCCAATGCTGGGATAGGGGAAGCATTTGGCTTCCCCCACATCGGAAATATTTTTTGTGTTTGCAGTGGAACGGAACGCTGGCAAAGTTTTGTGAGGCGTTCAATTGCACTGCGGGCGGAAGTGGCCCGCCCCTGCCCCAAAACACAAGGCGAAGTTTCTCAGCGATCGCGGTGCGTTCCAGCAGCTACCGCTCTGGAACGCACACGCTTTCAGGGTGAACAAGGCCTAACTGGAACGGAACGCTGGCAAAGTTTTGCCACACGTTCAATCGCACTGCGGGCAGGGGGGCGGGGAAGCGGTGCCATTGAATTAAATGCACCACCACGCCCCGTCCCGCCCCAAAATGCAGGGGGAAGTTTCACAGCGATCGTGGTGCGTTCCAGCAGCAACCGCTCTGTAACGCACACGCTGTGAACAAGGCCTTTCTGTGACCTCTGCAGAACGCAGCAGCGTGGGCCATAAAAACTCAGCCCCAGGACACCAAGTCTCAGCTGCAGCTACAGCTGCAGCTTTCCCCCCAGCCAGTCCCAGACTCACAGGTCAGCTGCTGCTGTTCCCTCTGCTGGCTTACCAGTGCAGCTAGAAACAGCCTCAGGCTCTGCCGCTCAGCCCCCACTGTGCTTGCTTCTCCTTTCCTGTTGCCCGCTCCGCGGCCGTCCCAAGAAAAAAAACAAACCTTCCTGCACGTCACGTGTGCAGGAACGTACCAAAATGGCATATGGACGGGGGGGTCGGGACGTACCATTTTTTTTGTACGACCGCGGCGGACCCAGCAAGAAGCAGTCACGGACACCTTGCCATCAGAGATGATTTGAGGATCTACAGCCGAGTGATACACAAATAAGATACATTTTTACAAATAGTTAAGGTAATTAAATGCATTTTTAAGAATTAAAGTGTAGTGTCACTTTAATGGACATCTTTTTACTGAGTCAGGGCCACATACTGTTTGAATATAGTCCATTTCTGTGAGTTGGCCAAAATTTTAAGTGTATGGCCAGTTTAAACATATCTACAATTCCTGTGTCCCTCAATGGGCAGAAAAAAATATTTTATGGTAAGTCGAAAAATAAAAATATTATATGTTTGGCAGGACAAAGCAAGACATCCCAGAATGTGTTTGTTAACAAAGGATGTCTAAATAGTCCTGCTTGCCACTGCAGTGTTCAGCATTCTATTCTTCTATTCCTAACAAGAAAACCAGCATTTACTACTGCTAACACAGATACTTTTTAGTAAATATTTAAATATACTAGAAGGATGTTTACACATCTTGGTGTGTTTTATTGTACTGTCTGATTCATAAGTATTGGAAACTTACATTATAGGTCTATAAATAGACTGCAGAGTATTTTCCACTGAGAAAATGTAAGCTTTGTAGAAATCTGCCCTCCCTCCTGGTTCCAAAAAAGATGGCAGATCTAGGAAACAGAAGTCTGTATTCTCCACTGCCTTATAAAAACAGCTGGATCTCCCCTCCTCCCTCTGACTGGCGATCTCCCCTCTGCTTCCTCTTTTGTTTCATACATTCAGTAAAGCAGGCTCAGCCGCATCGGAGGCAGGCAGAGAGGGGATCGCAGCACAGCCTCCTTCTACACTCACCCTGATCATACATTCCACGATCAGATAGGCACCATGTATACTTCTCATCTCTACTACTACTACAACCCGGAGGATGTTACAATTCACTGACACCATCTGATGCTTCCTGAACTGGCTCTGGATTGCCCTTCACTCCCAGGAAAGGACAAGGAGTCATCAGGGCTTTCTAGTCTCACCGAGCTGCTGCTGCTGCTGCTGCTGCTGTCACTGCTGTGCCCACTCTGGGCTACCGTTTCCTCCCCCACCAAGTCCTGTCCTTTGGCTGCAGGGAGTGGCTGGGATCATAGAGCGAGGGACAGACTGCAGGGCTGGGCTAGTCTCTGATACCCTGGCTACAGTGGATGCTGGCATGTCAAGAGGTAAGGTCGTCATGTGTTGCTAATTCTGGGGCAATGGGGTGGAAGGGAGTTTCCCACGAACCTCAGCGATGAAGATCTGCAACAAAGGAGGCTAGCACAGAACCGGCGTGGCCTGGGAGGACAGCTCCATGCTGCCTGTCAATGAGTGGGATCGTATGCTGCCACATGGTAACATCTTCATGTATCTATGTCGTTCATCTGACATCTAAGTTACATTTTGCATCCATATCTGGCTGCACCAACGTGTCATTGTTGATTCCTTTTGCCAATGCATCCAATGCATGGGCAGCGATGCATACCATTTGTATTGTGTTTCAGACTATTGTATACCAGTGGAAGCTCTATGACATTGTGAATCAACACTGGTATAATTATGTATAAAGTCAGAATATATGTTTCTCTTGTGACTACATCTTCTTTTAAAAGCATACAAACTCACTCTCTCTCTCTCTCTCTCTCTCTCTCTCTCTCTCTCTCTCTCTCATTCCATCTATCTATCTATCTATCTATCTATCTATCTATCTATCTATCTATCTATCTATCTATCTCTCTAAATATCATCTCTCTGTCATTCTATCTATCTATCTATCTATCTATCTATCTATCTATCTATCTATCATCTCTCTCTCATTCTATCTGTCTGTCTGTCCGTCTTTCTTGACATGTGATCTGCACTTACAATAAGATATCCATGTCTCGGTAAATGTTTTCCAGGTTACAAATATTGCCCTTTTGGTAATAATAGCAGACATTACCTATCCTAAAATATTACTTTTCCATGGTCTACTCAAGTAGCTCTAACCCTCGTCTTGTGACATCTACGGCCATAAATCATTTCTGAGTCATACCAGAGCTAAGTTATTATGACAGTGAGATGGAATCATTTCACGTAAAAGGAATCAATTTTTATTCCTTTAAAATGGATGTGTATGTAGTAATATGAAAGTCTGCACAAATGAAATATTGTCATTAGCTTCTTAGACTTCTCACCTACCTCGAATCTTGTGACACAGTCAGTCTAGCACTTTGGTGCAGGCATGCATACAAGCGATCTGTGCACTTTATTATATTTCTAATAGTGCTTTTATTGTGGATAAGCTCGATGCTGCTTATGTTATTTAGTTTGTTTTTCATAAAATTAAAATGCTTGTACTTTCCAAAATCTTCTATGTAATATATCTGACAAGTGACACACCCATCCTTGTATTGCCATGTATTATTTTATGTTAAAGTCATGTATTGGTTTATATTGTTTTATGGAGTCATAAAACAATATAAAGTCATTGTTGCACTGCCGATTAAGTCAGTTAAGAAAAAATGAAAATCATACTAAACAATGTTGGCTAACATAATATTTAATATTTAATATGTAATAACTATGAAGGTGTTTGGCATTGGTGTAACAGGAAATGGTGTGACCAGATAGAATAAACATGTGACACATATGTTTTATTTGAACAGAAAATGACTTGAGTTTTGAGTACTTGAGTTGGAAAAAGTACCATTTGTAACAGGCCATCTCCGGAATCAGGTAGAACTTTATGCCAAGTGGACTCAAATTTGCTTCATCACGCTTGAGGGGAAGACAAAAACAATTTCATTGGACAGCCACTGCATTTAACATTTGACAGCCTAAAATGGGGCAAACAAAGTGCAGTAGTTTGCAAATTTCTTTGTGTTAAGTACATGTAATATTACTTTATTCTGGTTATTGTAGTAGTTTAGCAACAAGCAACTGCTTCAGGACCCAAGACCCCTAAGGGCCCAGCCCTGGCCCTGGTTCCCACATTGCCCCAAACACATGACATGGTGTATTTGCATGACTTATATTGTGTAAGCATTTGATTATGAGATACATATTATTGACAGGTAGTGACAAGCTGATGTGTTTGAAAACCAGGAATATCCCAAAAAAGTGGATTTCACATTTTTTGATTCTCACTTCATATATTTATATATTAATATGGTTATATACATGAAGATCTGTCCAACATTTATACAGCTCATGAAGCATAATTGATTGGATCGAGAATATAGATAGAGAAATCTATATGGAAACATCCAAGAGAGTCAAAAGAGTGATGAATCAGCAATTTTCCCTTGACTATCCCTATTAAAATGGGGGCTATAGTGAGTTGTCATTATTTCGATTTTGCAACGGGGACTACATTTATCTAAAAGGTCTGCCCATCCAAAAGTGATCTTTCAGTTTTTGTTATTGTTTTTGATAGTTACTTATATCTTTTAGGGGCTCTGGATTGGTAAGATGGGTTGAATTTGTGGGTATGCTCACCATTTGTGGCCATTGTAAGGGATTAGCACTCTGCTTGATTTTTAATTTATTTCATTTTGTGGGCAGTATAGCAGGAGAAGCTTAAATATGGAAAGGTGGGAAAAAAACAACAAAAACTCTCAGGTACGAAGGAACAGAGCTGGCAATTATGGAAGGCAGGTTTCACTGTTGGAGTATCCAAGACAAGAAGCTAGGGGCAGATTCAGTTCCACAGACTCTATCTATGGATAACATTTTTTTTTTGGTAATCTGGCCTTTAAGATCTTACAGTACAGTACTGCATGCTTAGCAGCTTGAATCTATGGTTTAGTGGCTGGTAAGTGTTTGCTGAATACATTAGGTCCCATTCCCACCTGCAATTGCATCAGTCTCACAAAATACTCCATGATACTCATGCAATCTGCTGCGGGTGGGAGGCACAGTACAATACAATGATATCTGCCATCACTCTGTGATATCTGCCATTACTCTGCATCTAGGTGTGGTCCTCCGCAGGTAATCACAGCCTTCCACCCGCAGCAGATCGCATGACTCCCCCAGAGAAATTTGTGAGACTCATGCTACTGGCCCAATTCACAGGTGTGAATGGGACCTCAGGGTAATTAAGCACCTCCCAAAAAGCATGACCTCTCACACTCGTTTTGCCTTACTGAACCTCAATATTATGATGTTAGTCTTGGTCAGCACGCAAATTGCCCAAAAGTTTATTTTCTGAGTTACTTTGTACAGTTTAGGAAGCTTCAGCCAGTTCCCCCCATTGGGAATTACATACAAATACTTCTCTATAGAAAGAGAAATGGCTTCTAGGTCATCTATGAGGTGGGCCTGAAAATGAATAGTTAACCCTCTTGGCTGAGCCTTGCTGACTGAGAACTCTATGCACTGATTGACTGTACTAGCCCTCATCAGCATGGTGCTGTCACCTTTAGTCAATAAATGATGCACCCAAAAACTCTAGGCAGATATAAAACACTCATATTATTTTAGCTTTGTTATTTTTAAAGCATCACTAAATAGGGAGCCAGTCAGTTCATGTGCTTACAAGACACGTGCTCATAGGAGGAGAAAGAAAAGTGACTGAAAGATGAGGATGAGATCATCACTGTGCTGCGTCTCCTTTTACTGTCCATGATATGAATAGAACACCGGCACTCCAATTACAGATATGATGCGTCTTTATTGACGTGGATGCAGCATATCACATAAGTGCAACATTTCGGGGTCACACAGTTTCCCCTTCCTCAGGCAGGACATGTGATGTCTTGCCTGAGGAAGGGGATCCTGTGTGACCCTGAAACGTTGCACTTGCAGGGGTGTGGACATTTTTGAAAAATACATTTTTAGCTCTGCTTGTCCGGAGCCGGGCTAAATGTATTAAAAAACTACTCGCCCGGCGCCCGAAACTACATAGGAATTCCACACCCCTGACTTGTGTGATATGTTGCATCCACGTCAATAAAGATGCATCATATCTGTAATTGGAGTGCTCGTGTTCTATTCATAACATGTGCATGTGACGATGCCATCCGTCAACCACCGCTGCACCCACCTGCTCATTCTTGGATTAAGCAGAGTGCATGGGTATATGGACTTCTCCTTTTACTCTCCAGTCACAGGTTGGAGCTCAGAAGATGAGATGACCTGGGCTCAGAAGCTGAGTGTTGAATGATGCTGTCCATCAGAGAAAGGACATTTAGTGGCAGAAAAAAGTACTGCATAAGAAATCTCTGACTTGAAGTAGAACATTGCAGCAAAAGCAGTTTTTTTCCCATTCATTATTTTTGGCTACCGACTAAGTCCAAGAGAACCCTCAGGCACTATGTAATGGAAAATGTGCAGAAAAATTATTTTCCTACCAAGTTATGTAAGATTCGCATTCTAAAAAATATAATGTTTTTGTAAAACTGACAAAAAACTAAAGGTTTAAAGGGGTAAAGGTTAAACCCCTTGTCAGGTATTTACTGCTTCGTTAGGGAGATTTCCCCCGCACTTCCTGTTATGCTGACAAGGCAGGAAGTAAGGGAAACTGTCGAACAGCAACATAGACAAAAATAAAACACTTTTATATAGTAAAGTAGGGAAAGGCTAGAACCCTGTCAGATTTTAATTTCTGTCTGTGTCACTGTTGCAGATTTCCCTCACTTCCTGTGTGGTAAAACCTTGTCAGCAGGACAGAAAGTGAGGGGAAATCGTTTGCACATAAGCGTTTTACGCATGGAAAATCGCAAAACATAAAAAGTAATACAATCATATGGGGCTTGTTGACACCTGCGCGTTCGTATGCATAAAAAAGTACATGTGCGATTTTCTGGCCGATTTCAGCACATTCTGTCCCCCAAAAGACTATAGTTGTAGCCGCAAACACATGGAAAAACACGTGTCTAATAAAAATTCCGCCTTTTTGTGCAAACGCGCTAAATTCCAAATGTGCAGGTGTGAATAGAGCCTTACTGAACGTCAGTAAAAACATGACAGGTGTTCTGATGTTTCCCAGTTCCATTGAAAACTAGAAAATGCTTTTGCTTTGACTTAAGACAGAAAAGATTACAGTTTAAAGCAGAACTCTGGGGAACATTATTCTTAACCCTTGCAGTTGGGCTACCCCTGCACTGCAACGGTTAAGTGCTCGTTTATGTCTAGGTTGAAAAATAACAAAGATATACTAACCCGTACCTCCGAGCCAGCTTGCTCGTAGACTGGTCCCTTC